GCAACATCCTTGCAGACGGCCAATTCTCTCAGGCCAGAAACAACTTGCAGTTTCTCAAGTCACTTCTGACACAAATATTCAATTAAATTAATAGCTGAATAATGATAAATACTGTTCCCTGAGGTTGGGGGAGGGGGGACGAGGTGAGGGGTCTAAAATTGATAGACGCAAGGGAGAGGTAAAGATGGGATTGATAAGATCACTATGAAAACAATATGTGACATGTATTCATTATGTATTTCAACATTTTAAAATGGATTGTGATGTTATTTTACCAGTGTCAACAATTAAAAAAGACTTTTAAAAAAGTCACTCTTGACACGGAAAAAAAACCCTTGTCTTTTGTCTGTGAGCAGTCGATGACATACTTAATTCACAACTATGTATCATTTATCTGGAAACCTGGTATCTGCTTCTGTATTAGCAGTGATATGATGTGCTGTCGGTCAACCAGTCCTGCCAGCACAAGGGTTTAACCCATTATGCCACTGGGACTCCTTAGTTTCCCACTAGCAATGCTGACTAAAGTTGCTAGAAGGTGAAGAACAATGATTGTTGTTGTAGGATTCAAGACCCAATCAGGCACATACAAGCCTGTGATGCAAAGGACCTGGGGCCCCATCTACACTGCCATATAATCCAGTTTCACAATCCAAATTATCTGCTTTGAACTGGATTATATGGCAATGTAGATCCAGCCTGAGCTGGCTTTCAACTTACTCCAAGATTCAGATAACTTTGGCATCAGAGGCATCACTCATGATGAAATCAATTTCTTTTCAGACATAGGCGAGTCTTGGGTCTGTTTAGTGTAGCATCGGTGGCCCCAGTGGTGCAATGGGTTAAACTCTTGTGCTAGCAGGATTGCTGACCGAAAGGTTACTGCTTGAAACCAGAGAGCAAGGTGAGCTCCTATCTGTCAGCTCCAGCTTCTCATGCAGGGACATGAGAGAAGCCTTCCACAGGATGGCAAAACATCTGGGTGTCCCCTGGATGGCCAATTCTCATACCAGAAATGACTTGCAGTTTCTCAAGTCACGTTTGACATGATAAAAGTGTGGTATCAAAAGGGGCTGATATTGGGAAAGAGACATCTTTTAACTCAGAGGAAGGCAAAACCCTCTATGCCAGCAATTCTGAACCTGGAGTCGGGACCCCTGAAGGGGTTACGAGGGGGGTGTCCAAAGACCATCAGAAAACACAGTATTTTCTGTTGGTCATGGGCGTTCTGTGTGGGAAGTTTGGCCCAATTCTATCATTGGCGGGGTTCAGAATGCTCTTTGATTGTAAGTGAACCATAAATCCCACCAACTGCAAGTCCCAAATGTCAAAGCCTATTTTCCCCAGACTCCACCAGTGTTCACATTTGGGCATATTGAGTATCCGTGCCAAGCACCAACTGCCGCTCTGGGCCGGAGTGAAGAGAGGGGAGGCCAGGGAACAGTTCCACCTTGTCTCCTATGCTATTCTAATAATATAATATAATATAATATAATATATATTGTATAAACATATAATATTTATAATATTATAATGTAACGCAATATAATACTACTACTACTAATAATAATATGATATTATAATTATATATTTATATTACATGTAATATTACTAATAATATTACAATATAATTGGTACAGTATAATATAGCAATATTTAAAACTGATATTGTACTATGCTAATAATATAATATATTGTATGTATATATACCTTGTAAGCCGCTCTGAGTCCCCTTCGGGGTGAGAAGGGCGGCATATAAATGTCGTAAATAAATAAATAAAATAAATAAGTTTGGTCCAGATCCATCATTGTTTGAGTCCAGAGTGCTCTCTGGATGTAGGCGAACTACAACTCTCAAACTCAAGGTCAGTGCCCACCAAACCCTTCCAGTATTTTCTCTTGGTCATGGGAGTTCTGTGTGCCAAGTTTGGTTCAATTCCATTGTTGGTGGAGTTCAGAATGCTCTTTGATGGTAGGTGAACTACAAATCCCAGCAACTACAACCCCCAAATGACAAAACCAATCTCCTCCCAAGTATTCTAATTTGGTTGTATCAGGTATTTGTGCCCAATTTGGTCCAGTGAATGAAAATCCATCCTGCATATCAGATATTTCCATGACGATTCATAACAGTAGCAAAAATACAGTTATGAAGTAGCAAAGAAAATAATGTTATGGTTGAGGTTCACCAGAATACCGAGAGGAACTGTATTCAGAGGTCGCGGCATTAGGAAGGTTGAGAGACACTGCTCTATACAAAGTTTGCCAAGGAAACCCGGCTCCAAAGTTGTCATAAGTCGGAAACGACTCGGAGGCACAGAGAAACAACATTCCTTGTGCATATTATGCAGCAACGGGAAAGAAAAAACAACAACACAGGGAACGCCTCCGCCCCCCGCCCTCCGCCCTCCGCCAAAGGGATCTGGAGAAGGAGAGGCAGGATGCGGCCTCCCAGCAAAGACACGCCTGGCCTCTCCCTGTTTGCAAAAGGACTCTCCTAAAGTCCCGCCTCCTTGCATGAATGCCATTGAGCCTGAGCCCTCATTAGAACCAATGGGAGGGCTGCACAAGATGCCTGCGCCCGCCCCTCCTGAGCCCATAGGAGGAAAGGCGTGCTCGTCCTCTGCATTATTTATTTACCTCCCTCCAGATAGGATCACCGGGTGGGGCGGAGGGGGTTCCTGCTTTGCCTTGGCTCCCACCGCTTTTGGAGGGCTTTGGAGCCCCCTCCTGGCTTTGGACGGCGAGCTCCTACTGAGCCTTTCCCTGAAAGTAAGTTCCTTTTGGGGTGGTCGAAGAGATCAGCCCTTTCCCAGGAGAGTCTCAAGAAAGGCACCAGATCTTAGTTCTCAGGTCTTGGAAGCTCATCAGGACCAGCCCTGGCTAGGATTTGGATGATGACTGGTGTTGAACTCATGCAGTTTGACAGCATTTTAACTGCCATGGCAACATGCTATGGGATCTTGAGAGCTGTAGTTTGATGAGACACCTTGAATTTCATAACCTTGAGCCATGGCAGCCAAAGTGGGGTCAAACAGCATTAATTCTGCAGTATAGATGGACCCCAGTTGTGGCAGTATTCATATTTAAGGGAATCTAATTTCAGCATGTATGTATTCAGTTGGGTTCTTTTGCATCCACTGGGGTTTGGTTCCAGGACTACTATGGATAGCCAAATCTGTGGTTGCGGAAGTCCCATTATACACAATGCCATGGTAAACAGGTGACCTTTATGTAAAATGGCTAAAACAATGGGTTTGTTGTAGGTTTTTTCAGGCTATGTGGCCATGTTCCAGAAGCATTCTCTCCTGACGTTTCTCCTCATCTATGGCAGGCATCCTCAGAGCTTGTGAGAGCTCACAAGCTCTGAGGATGCCTGTCATAGATGCAGGTGAAACGTCAGGAGAGAATGCTTCTGGAGCATGGCCATATAGCCCCAAAAACCTACAACAAACTAGTGATTCTGGCCAGGAAAACCTTCGACAATACATCGGCCAAAACAATGTTTACTTTTGCCTTCTGACATTTTCAAACTATGGATATAGAACCCATGGATATTGAGGGCCAACTCTACTGTATTCCAGAGGTATCTTAGGGTGCATCTATACTGCAGAATTAATGCAGTTTGACAGCAGATTAATTGCCATGAAGCAATACTATTTCATCTTTGTAATGTGGTGAGGTACCAGCACTCTGTAGCAGAAATAGCAAACGATCTTGTGAAACTACAATTCCCAGAATTCCATAGCCATGGCAATTAAAGTCACACCAAGGGGAATTCATTCTGCAGTGTGGGTGCATCCTAATTTACTCTGATTTCAGAAAAAGGCAGTTGCAAAGTGCTTCCTTGCATAAGAAAACCCTGAAATGAAATACTATGTATGGGTGCACACACACACACACACACACACCTATGATAGACTAGGTAAAAGCAAACAAGTTGAAATTTAATCCGTTCCAGAAAAAAAAAGCTTAAAATTTTTGAGATGTGATGGGGGATGCCTTACTCGACAGCTGTATGCATGAAAAAGATCTTGGAGTCCTTGTGGACAATAAGTTAAACATGAGCCAAAAATGTCATGCAGCAGCTTAAAAAGCCAATGGGATTTTGGCCTGCATAAATAGGAGTCTAATATTTAGATCCAGGGAGGTCATGCTGCCCCTCTATTCTGCCTTGATCAGACCACACCTGGAAAACCTTGTTCAATTCTGAGCACTGCAATTGAAGGAAGATGTTGACAAGCTGGAACGTGTCTAGAAGAGGGTGACTAAAATGATCAAGGGTCTGGAGAAGAAGCCCTATGAGGAGTGGCTTAAAGAGCTGGGCATGTTCAGCCTGAAGAAGAGAAAGCCAAGAGGAGACATGATAGCCATATATAAATATGTGAGGGGAAGTCATAGGGAGGAGGGAGCAAGCTTGTTTTCTGCTGTCCTGGAGACTAGGACTACAGGAAAGAAGATTCTACCTGAATATTAGGAAGAATTTACTAACTTTGAGAGCTGTTTAGCAGTGGAATTCTCTGCCCTGGAGTGTGGTGGAGGCTCCTTCTTTAGAGGCTTTTAAACAGAGGCTGGATGGCCATCTGTTGGGTGTGCTTTGAATGCAATTTTCGTGCTTCTTGGTAGGAGGTGGGACTGGACGGCCCACAAAGTCTTTTCCAACTCTATTATTCTATGATTTGTATTTTCAATTGTGATTTTTTTAAAAATGTTTATAAATATTTTGCAAGGCCTACATGCCCTTAAGGAAGCTAATACCAGGCATGATGGGCTATATTTCAGGGGAAGAATCTTGCAAAACCACCTCTGATCCCCTTTGAACTCAGTGTGGCTCTAATACTTTGTTTTGAACAAGCATAGGCTTGGCTTTGCACTGGGCTTAGCAGAATGACTGCTTTGATCAGGTTACAGTTCAAGAAAGTATATGCTTAAAAGGATATGTCACATGTCATAAGACTCTTCATTGTTTCCCCCTTGGTTGTTCTGGCTGCAGGCCACTGTTTTTCCCCAGATATGATTACCCACACCCTTTTGCCTTTATCCTCCGGCATCCTACGCCCAGCTCTCTTCTGAAAAGCCTGGGCAGGGTTTTGCTAAGTCATCTTGAATTCGCATTTTCCCTCTCTCTGCAAGAGGCAGTATTTAGTGCAAAGTTTCCTTCTTCGAGATTTTACCCACTTAGTGAAGAGCTGAAAGAGAAGGTGGTGAGTACCTGGGATACTATAGCTAGAACTTGGATTTTCTCCCAGTCGTTTTTTCAATGTGTAGCTGAAACCCAGGGCTAGGAAAGATTATAATGTTTGGTAAAGTGGAAGGCAGTAGAAAAAGAGGTGGCTAGAATTGATCTCAAACAGGAACGGGCAAACTTCAGCCATCCAGGTGTTTTGGACTTCTCCCAGAAATCCCAGCTAGTTTACCCACTGTTAAGAATTGTCTGAGTTGAAGTCCAAACACCCGGAGGGCCAAAGTTTTCCCATGCCTGATCTAGAAAGTCAAGATCCTGAGTTTATAAGACCTGAGATAGGTGCATCGACACTGGAATTAATGCAGTTTGACTTCTCTCTAACTACAGTAACTCAATATTAGGAAGCATTAGACTTGTCATTTTACAAGGTCTTCAGCTGTCTCTGCCAAAGAGTGCAAGTCGCTCATTAAAACTACTAGGGCTGGGCGGTTTCATTTCGTAATTTCGTAATTCGTTAAAAATTCATTATTTTTTTTATAACGAAGCGATAACGAACCATTCAGGAGCAACTAAAAAACGAAACGAATTTTTAAATTCGTTTCGTAATTGTTCCGAATTCGTTTTGTATTCGTTTCGTTATCGTTTTGAAATCGTTTCGTTATTATTTCCGCATGTCTGGGGCAAGTTTTATAGTTGTTTGTTTAATCAGTGAAAAAAAATTATAAATATCACACCAACAGTCAACAACAGAGGGAGAGGGAAGTTTCAGAAGTTCCCCCTGTCCCATTTGGAGGTTTTTTAGCGTATTGCGCGGTCGCGTCCGCCATTAACGAATCGATTCGTAATTGTTTCGCAATTGTTTCGTATTGTTTTGTAATTTACGAAATTTCGTAAATATCAAACTTTTTAAAAGAAAAATTTCGGAATTCTTTTAAAAATTGAAACGCAAAACCCCCCAAAAAACGAATCGATTTTAGAAACAAATTTTTCCGTGGTTGCCCAGCCCTAAAAACTACAAATCCCCGGATTCCATGACATTGAGCCATGTCAGTTAAAGTGGTGTCAAAGTGCATCAATTCTACATTGTTGATCTGTCCAGGGTCAAGGCAGAATTAAGAACACAAACCCATATCAGTTGCATTATAGAGTTGACTGTCCGTATATAGTTATCTCTCTACATTTGAGGGTTTTACTTTTGTGGATTTAATTCACAATTTGATTGAAATCTTCTTTCTTGGAATCTCTAGGTCCTCCACTATGACCCTCTGGTCAGAAGTTGACCACAGATTCCTAGACAGGTGTCCTTGCGAGTAAAACCAATAACTTGTTTTATTTGTGTTTTTCCCCCACATTCATGGGTGTCTGCCTCCCTAACTCCAGCAAAAGTGGAGGGATGACTATACATGGGTTCAACCATCCATGGCTTGAAATTCATTTTAAAAATCCAGAAAGCAAATCTTTATTTTGCCATTTTATATAAGGGACAATATTTTACTATGCCATTGTATATAATAGGACTTGAGCACACATGGATGTTGGCATCCATTATTATTATTATTATTATTATTATTATTATTATTATTATTAGTTTATTATGCCATTGTATATAATAGGACTTGAGCATACATGGATGATGGCATCCGTTGTTGTTGTTGTTGTTATTGTTGTTGTTATATTTATACCCCACTTTATCTCTCTCGAAGGAGACTCAAAGTGGATTAACATAAAAGTATTTACATACAAACCTTCTTCTTTAAAAGCCTGTCTTAATAATAAGGTTTTAGCCTGCCATTGGAAGGGCAGCCAGGAAGGGGGCCATTCTGGCTTTCCTGGGAAGAAGAGAGTTCCAGAGTCAAGGTACAGCCACTGAGAAGGCCCATTCTCTCCTTCCCACCAACAGAGCTTGAGATGGAGGTGGGACCGAGAGAAGGGCCTCTCCTGAAGATCTCAGGGCCTGGGCAGGTTTGTACAAGGGGATGCAGTCAGCCAAATAGCCTGGACCATCTAGGGCTTTGAAGGTAATAACCAGCACTTTGAATTGTGCCTGGAAACAAACTGGCAGCCATGGGAGCTACTGCAACAGAGGGTTGTCTGCTCCCTGTAGCCAGGCCCAGTGAGCAACCTGGCACTCTTTAGAGGCAGCCCCACACAGAGTGCATTACAGTAATCCAGATAGGATGTAACTAAGGCATATATCACCGTGGCCAGATCTGGCTTCTCAATGAATGAGTGCAGTCAGTGCACAAGTTTTAATTGTGCAAAAGCCCTTCTAGCCACTACTGATACCTGGGTCTCCAGGTTCAGTGCTGAGTCCAGGAGGCCCCCAAACTGTGAACTTGTGTCTTCAGGAGGAGTGTGACCCCATCCAGCATAGACTCGATCCCTATTCCCTGATCTGCCTTCTGACTTACCAGGAATAACTCTGCCTTGTCTGGATGAGAAGGGTGGAATATAAATAAAGTGTTATTATTATTCCCTCATCCAGTCCATTACTGATGACAGGCACTGGTTTAGGGTCAGAACATGCTTCCTTGACATTAGGTAGAAAGGAGTAGAAGAGTTGGGTGTCATCCGCATATAGGTGGCATGAACCCCAAAACTTCGGAAGACCTCTCCCAGTTGTTTTATGTATATGTTAAACAGCATGGGGGACAAAATGGAACCCCGAGGAATCCCACGGGCATTCCCCAGCACCACCTTCTGGGTACAGCCCTCCAGGAAGGACTGGAGCCACTATGAGACAGTGCCTCCCAGTCCCATCCCAACAAGATGGCCCAGAAGGATACCATTGTCAATGGTATCCAGGACACATGGGGAGTAGGTCCTGGAATGACACACCAGTAGATACCAAGGGTTCACTGTCCTTACCATAGTTAACAAAGTGATCTCCCCTGTCCCTGCCATCCTCCGAATCTGCTAGAAATGCCATTTGCGTGTACTGTAATCATGGCAGAATAGATCTCCTCCCCAGGGAGCTGATTCCCAATAGTGTATGTATATGTGTATGCAAGTGTGTATGAGACAGTTACGGTAGTGGCACAATTTTTTACCAAGTAGTGATCATGAATAAAAAAGTTATCTGAAGCTGCTTTTGTTCACAATCACTTAGTTACAATTTTGACACAATGAAATATAGTCGTTTCTCTGCATCCACAGATTCTGTATCACGTCATTCTCCAATCCATGGCTTGATAATATCCCCACCCTCACCCATAAATCATCTAAAAGCAAACCTTGCTTTTACCATTTTATATAAATACGTCATTTTATTTCACAACAACAACAATAATAACTTTATATATTGCTCTATCTCCCCAAAGGGACTCACCACTGTATATAATGGGGTATGAGCAGACACAGGTTTTGAAATCCATGGGGGTCCTGGACACAAACTCCAGTGGAAACCTTATACAAGATGCAGGCCAATGTCTCCAATAGGTTTCTTGTTTATAGAGTTGCCATATGATAAAACCAGTTTGACAGAACTTAACAAGATGACATTGTTAAGCCTTGTTTTGTTTTTTTTAAATACCTCCCCCTCCTAAATTTTGCTTACTTGTTTTCACTGTTTAGTTAATTGAGAGTGTCTGATGTTTGCCTATTCTTGTGCTTTAAAAAAAAAACCAGGCTACTAGTATTGTAGTTGATGTAAGTTAAATTAAAATATGCTTGATTTTGTGGGGTTTTTTTTTTTTTGCAAGCTGTTGAAATCTTTGAGATCTTGATCATCCTGCAATGGCTGCTGCAAGGAAAGTCATCAAAACCGTGCTCAGTAAGGAGCAAGCAGAAGGAGTTGGGGCTCGTGTGCGTCGGAGTATAGGCCGGCCAGAAGTAAGTCAATTATTTTCTCTGTACTTCTAGGAGGGTTGGAATGCAACAGTGACTTTTAGTGTACTGGATTCCCATTGTTACATCTCTAACCAGAGATAGCCAGGACCCTCTATTTCTGTCCACTACAGAGGGGGGTTAAGACAAATTGGGATCATTTTCAGGCTGAATTAGGGCTGCATTTACACTCTCAAATTAATGCAGTTTGACACCATTTTAACTGTCACTGCTCAATGCAATGAAAACCTGGGAGGCATAGTTTTGCAAAGTCTTTAGCTTTCCCTGGTCAAGAATGCTGATGCCTCCCCAAACTTCAGATCCTAAGAGTCCATAGCATCAAGCCATTGCAGTTAAACTGGTGTCGAATTGCATCCATTTGTCAGTGTAGATTCACCACAGGTTTATGGCCACAAATTCTTCACTCTACACTTCAGCACAGGCCATTTTCTTATTGAAACATTTGCTAAATAAGTGCAAAGCAAATACAGGCAGTTCCTGAGTTACAAACATCTGACTTGCAAATTGGGGTGAGACAACAGGAAGTGAGAAAAACGTGCCCCTAGGAAGCGAAATCCACTCCTGAAAGAGTTATCTGGGGAAAGGTGTCTCCAATGAGGCTTTCTCACCATTCCTTGTTTCCTCAACAAGTCAATTTTTTCAAAATCCAATTATCACAGGGACAAAAGGTTAGGTGGAATATTCTGAACAGGGACATAGACAGCAAAACAAACACTATTGGGGTGTTGTGGAAACAAGGATTGGTGATTATACTTCAGTGGAGACCCCTTTCCCCCTTGATAACTCTTTCAGGAGTGAATTCTCCTGCAAGGAGGTAGATTTCTATCACTTCGTTTTGTCTCTCCCCAATTCTTAACTATGAGGGACTGTCTGTACTATAGTTGGGGAGGCAAAATGGAAATGTTTACTTTACAGAATAAAGGGGAAAGATAAATATAAGGAATTAAACAAAATTATCCTCATGATCAAACAATCATAATAAGTACAGCAAAATTTGTAAACTGTTCCTGTAGAGGGGTGGGAAGGGGAAAGATAGAGGGGGAAATGATGTGTTACTAATGGAAAATGTAAACATGTGTTACTAATGGAAAATGTTTTGAATGTTTGCATAATTTTGTGTAACACTATTCACAATAATTTTGAAAATAATAATAATAATAATAATAATAATAATAATAATAATAATAACAACAACAACAACAACAACCAGAAAAGAGGTAGATTTCTCTCACTTCCTGTTGTCCTTTACCATGTAAGTCAAATGTTTGTAACTTGGGGACTGCCTGTACTGTCATGACCCAAACTCTGCACAATTTGTTGCATCTTAATAGACAATATACATATCCTCCACATTTGTGGGTTAAGTATTTCACAGATCTGATTGATCACAGATTGCTGTATTTGCATTTGCCTTTGCTGCTTACCAACACATGATTGGGAAAATATTTTATCTGTATACATTTGTATGGTGCTCCATGTAGTCATGCCGGCCACATGACCTTGGAGGTGTCTATGGACAATGCTGGCTCTTCGGCTTAGAAATGGAGATGAGCACCACACTCCAGAGTCAGACATGGCTGGACTTAATGTCAGGGGACTACCTTTACCTTTACCTATACATTTGTAGGTCCTCCAGCATGATTATCCATCAACTTATGATGATGGTTAACCATAGGGACTTTCTGGAGTACACATGCCCGGAGAAGTGTTGTCTTGGGTGAAAAAAAACCTAGCAGACCTATATTCTTAGTTTTCCTACTTTTATAATTGCCCTGTGCCCTTAACATCCATGAATGCGAAGGGTTGTCTATATAGTGTAAATCTGTTACACAAGCATATCTACTGACTCAAGGGGATTTAGTATTCTTACTTAGTTACTGGGTGGATTTATAGCTTGCTTTTTAAAATTTGTTCTCAGAACTGGTTCCAACTGAAAAAGATAAATTGCCACTATGATTATAGCAATGGCAATAGCATATTAAAGGAGATTAAAATAGGCCCATAAAACACTGAGTCTCCATGAATACAGAATCTTCTTCATTATAAAATGTTTCTCCCAAAAGTCTATGCAGCTCATTTTTAAAAGCTCATTTATCCTTTTCAGTTCATTGTTTCTAAAGTTTTCCAAGAATAGGACAAATAATGAATAATTTAAACAATTTTATATTATTTCTCTAAAACAAAAGAATTAAAATATTATTAACTTTATTTTGCAGTTGAAAAACCTGGACCCATTTCTGCTGCTTGATGAATTCAAAGGAGGCCAGCCAGCTGGCTTTCCCGATCACCCACACCGAGGTTTTGAAACAGTGAGTGTTTTTTTATATGTAAGGAACGCTAGCAGTTGAAAGGTACAGTAGTCTGCCCACTTTTACAGGGTTTCAGGCACAGAGTCCTCACAAAAGTGGAAAAGCTGCAAGTATAAATGAAACAACAACAAAATTTTATTTATATACTGCTCTATCTCCCCGAGGGGACTCAGAGCGGTTTCCAAATAACATCATCAATACATACAAAGTAAACAACATAAACATAAAATTAACAAGATAATTTAAGCATTAAAAATCACAATAGTACATATATATTTAAAATAACCCTGCCTTTTCAAGGCAATTTAAAAGGCCGGGCCGAGGCTAGTGCAATTTGTAGAGGGCCCAGGAAATTAGGTAAAGTCTATGGCTGTTCATTTCCGGGGCCTAATAGGAGGAAGTAGCCTGGGTAATTGGTAGAAAAAGATATGGCCATATTCAACAGTATCTGGGGCTGAGCTAGAACTAGTCATTCTCAAAGTCTTGTTTAGGGTTTTCAGGCTCTTACGAAAGGAGGGGAGGGATGGGGCCTGTCTTATTTCTCTAGGAAGGGCTTTCCAGAGGTGGGGGGTCACCACCAAGAAGGCCCTCTCTCTCTCTCTTGTTCCCACCAACCGTGCTTGTGATGGTGATGGAAGCAAAAGGAGGGCCTCCCCAGAAGAACTTAAATTTCATGTCGGTTCATAGAAATCTGACATGCTGCGTTTTGTTGTTGTTGTTGTTTTGTAGTTGTCAGGGAACGTTTCTAGGCATTTGCAGTTTGGTGGGGCACTTGCACTCTTTGGTAGAGAAGGCTAAAGACCCGATCAAAATACAACTCCCATGATTTCCTAGCCTTGTGCCATGGTAATTAAAATAGTGCCAAACCGGATTGTTTCGCAATGTAGATGTACCTTTAGAGTAACCTTCCTTTGCCAGACATCCTCTAAATCCCACCCAACTACTAACCAGGGCTTCTTGGGAATGATGGGTGTTGCACTCCAAGAAATGTGATAGTCACTATGTTAGGAAAGACCAATTTAGGGGAAGAACTAACTTATTTTCAGTGGGTTTTCATCTCTTTGATGTATTTGAACACTACAAGCAATTGAAGAGCACAGTTTACTTTTTTCTGAAAATACTGCTCTGATCCCCTCCTTAGCAATAAATGGAGTCATGCATCAACTGCCTGTAACATTTCATGAATGAAAGCCCATTTCATTTTATTAAAAAAAGTTTTATGCTCCTTTCCCAGAAATTCAAAAGGTTACAGTTTACACTAAAAATGATGAAGTACATGACAACAATGGGGGTATTTATGGCAGAACAGTCATAAACATTTAAATCCTCATGTAAAGTCTCAGCAAGATTTGATATTTTGACAGTGTGCTTTGAAAAGGCAGCTGTGATGGACTGACCCCTTGTAGTCCTTTCTGGAAAGAGGTTCAATTTTTTTGATCTGTAATAAACATTTCCAACACTTAGTCACCATCATGTAAGGTTTTAATCAAAGGAAATGACAGCAAAGCCATCTGAGGCTGGATCTACATTGCCGTATAATCCAGTTCAAAGCAGACAATCTGGGATCAGAAACTGGATTGTATGGCAGTGTAGATGGAGCCTGAGTTGAACTTCAGCCTCATTTACACTGCCATATAATCCAGTTTCTGAATCCAGATTATCTGCTTTGAACTAGATTATATGGCAGTGTAGGCTCATATAATCCAGTTCAAAGAAGATTATCTGGATTCAGAAAATGCATTATATGGCAGTGTATATCAAACCTTAATATATTGTCAAAGGCCTTCATGGCCGGAATCACTGGGTTTTTGTAGGTTTTTTGGGCTGTATGGCCATTTTCTAGAAGCACTTTCTCCTGACGTTTCACCTGCCTCTATGGCAGGCATCCTCAGAGGTAGACAACTTCAACAAAAAGAAACAATGAAAATAAACAAAATCTGACTACCAGTATTGTAGAAAAACCTCTAAAATTATAACGGTAAATAAAGAACAAATCTCAAACACAGGGGAGCTCCAGACAAGGAACAATCAGGAACAACTAATCACCTCTCAACAAAGGATTCCCCCAGGCAGGAACAAGGCACACCTAAAAACAGTCAGGCCACTAAATACTAATCAAGCCAGCCAATTGAAACATTCGCACCTAGCGCCAACAGACAAGAGTTCTTTCTCCCACCGTGGACTTTCCACAGACATATAAACACAATTTCCCTAGTTTACAGTAGACCTCACAACCTATGAGGATGCCTGCTATAGTTGCAGGTGAAACGTCAGGAGAGAATGCATCTAGAACATGGCCATACAGCCCAAAAAACCTACAGCAACCCATTAAGCCTTAGTGAGTAAGTGAATGGTTTACAAAATTGCAGTTAATTAGTTATCTCTTTGTATTATCTCCCTGTGAAATTGTACATCATAATCAATAGGTGACTTGAAGTCATACACACACTACAAACAGACTTCAGTATTCACAGATTCCGCATCTACAGATGCAAGTATTTACGATTTTAAAATATTTGATAAAAAAATCAATGATTTTTGTCATTTATATTGGGCACGTCATTTTACTGTGCCATTGTACATCATAGGATTTGAGCATCCAGAGATTTTGGTATCCATGAGGGTTTTGGAAGCAAACCTCCAGTGGGTACCAAGGACCCACTGTATTTCTATTACAAATTCTAGATTCTGAAAGAAGACTCTCTCTTCAGCCAGACCTCCACATTTGTGGGGTTAGAGAGGCAGACCCCCATGAACATGGAAAGAAAGAAGGCTGAAGTAACATTAAACTCTCCTTTTTCCTCCCTCCCTTTAAAATACGTGTGGTATATTATGGACATTGCCACCTCTTTCCTGATTTTGAATAATTTTTGCTTTTGTCAGCAGATGGCACTCTTCAGTGGAAATTGGGGCAACAAGACTTTTTAGGAAAGCTGTCTTGGAGAGAATACCACTTCAATCATAAGCTTTTATTTAAGGATTCCCTTAAAGATACACCTATGGGTTCATCTACACGGTGGATTTAATGCAGTTTGACACCACTTTAACTACCATGTCTCAAGGCTATGGAATCCTGGGAGATGTAGCCTTCTCTACCCAAAGGAACGGGGGCCTCACCAAATAACAAAATGCAGGATTCCATAGCATAGCAAGTAGTTAAAGTGGTGCCAAACTGCAGTAATTCTTCAATGTAGACACATACTGTTTATCCTATGGCTTCCTTTCATTGACAGTTCAACAAAATTTAGTTCACTTTAGTACCTTTGTAGATGGCGTGCTTGGTAAAATGGCCAGCAGAATTTGTTGAAAACTTCTGTTTAAAACCAAAGATCTGTAATTTTACATAGAAATGTGTTTGATCCTTTTGGATTTGTTGGGATTTCAGCAGCCTGCAGGCAGAAAAATACTGTTGAAGAAAATATGGAAGCAGGGATTTGTGCAGTTCATTCTTTTTATAGTGTAATTTATTTCTTGAAGTACATTCATCTTATTTCATTTCCTTTAATGCTTCTTACTGATAATTCCTTTACTCCAGTCAATTTTGTTTCATATGGTAATCACAGAAGATAAAATATCATACTACCATGACTAGTCCAAATGCACATCTTCTATTTACGTCAGAATGATGAAAAAGTGCTTTACTGCTTGGATTGTACCCAATATTTATTTTGTGACACATTTTTGATGTGACTGCTTTTAGTGGTCTTTTTTCATGTAAGACTTGTAATAAAGACTTGGGGGAGGGAGAGAGACATACTATAGCTCTTCATATTAGTTTTTTCTTGAACAAATATACATAGCTCTACATGCGATACTAAAGCATTGGAAAGCCTTTTGAATAGATGCATTTTTGGAGTTTTGCAGTGTACCACTGAAAATCACAGAAGATACACAGAGTCTAGAAATTGTAAAGAAAACTAATATTTATTTATTTATTTACGGTATGTCTATGCCGCCCAAAGGTGACTCGAGATGGCTTACAAATTTGCAGCAATTCGATGCCACACTGTTCATAAAACACAATCAAAAACATTTAGCACACATTATAAAAACCATGTAAAAATCATTAAAAACATATAATCACCAATGACTTCCTGTTAACTCATTTTTCAAAAACATTGTCTAAACCGTTCCATGTTCTCTTTTTCCTAGTTCCATATTCAACTATTACACTGCATTTCCAAAGGCTTGTTCAAACAACCAGGTTTTTACTTTTTTTTTAAATGTCAGGAGAGAGGGAGCCAATCTAATATCCCTAGGGAGGGAGTTCCATAACTAAGGGGCCACTACTGAGAAGGCCCTGTCTCTCTTTCCCATCAGGCGTGTTTGAGACAAAAGCAAATAGAAATTTAGCAAATAAAAAATGCATGAAATAATTGTACTGTACTTTCATGTGTTAAAATATGGTAAACTATGTGGAGTTAAGGTTTGAGAAACCTAGAGGTATCAATATTTTTTCTACTACCCCAACCCCTCCAAATGTGGTGGGCCATCTCTAGTCACTCACAGTGAAACTTTCTACTTCACTATTTATATTTCTGACATGTGTATGCTTTTAAAATATTTGTATACTCTTTTAAATGTGATAGTTTTAATTTTTTTTGACTCAGTGATGAGGTCATAAAATCATAGAGTTGGAAGAGACCTCGTGGGCCATCAAGTCCAACCCTCTGCCAAGAAGCAGGAAAATCGCATTCAAAGCACACCTGACAAATGGCCATCCAGCCTCTGTTTAAAAGCCTCCAAAGAATGAGCCTCCACCACACTCCAGGGCAGAGAGTTCTACCGCTGAACAGGTTTCACAGTCAGGAAGTTCTCCCTAATGTTCAGATGGAATCTCCTTTTTTGTAGTTTGAAGCCATTGTTCCGCGTCCTAGTCTCCAGGGAAGCAGAAAACAAGCTTGCTCCCTCCTTCCTATGACTTCCTCTCACATATTTATACATGGCTATCATGTCTCCTCCCAGCCTTCTCTTCTTCACGTCCTGTCTAACTCTGTGATTCTGTATTGTCGAGTATTAGCTAATATGAGCTCATTGAGTCCCACTCCAGGAGAAAGGTGGCATATAACAAGAAAGAATAAATATATAAATAAAATAAAAGCAAACTAAGTTTCAACTTGCCTAAAGTTCTAATCCAAGTCTATTTTTCAGGTATCATATCTATTGGCAGGTGGATCCATGGCCCATGAAGACTTTTGTGGCCATACAGGTAGACTAGATCCAGGAGATTTGCAGGTATGCCACAGTGATAAGAACAGCGATTGATTATAATAAATAATTATTTTAATGATGTGTTTTGTTTGGGAATCATTTTTTCAGGTGGTTGTGGCAGTTTGCCATTTTTTTCCTCAGAAATATAGCCTACAGAATCTGGTCTTCCTTTGCAGTCTTTCATCCAAGTACAAACCATGGTTGACCCTATTTCATTTCTCAGTTCAGACAGGATCTTGTACCTTTAGAGCAGTGGTTCCCAACCTGTGGTCCGTGGACCACCAGTGGCACCCAAGAACTAAAATATTGTCCGCAGCCTCACCGTTACTGCGCCGTTGCAATGAAAGCAACTGGTCTCGTGAAACCCTCTTATCGTGCCAAAGCAACGTGACTGTCAGGAGGGGAGAGACTAACTACCTACAAAAGGCACAACAACAAGCCTCCTGACTGCTGCTTCTCCTCCTCCCTTTCCCTGAGCAGAGCTATGCCATGTGGTGCCTGGAAGTGGGAGCTGCTTGGTGTCTTGGTTTTTAGGCCTTTTCCTGCGTAATTTGGGGTGTCGATTCAGAAAATTATATTGGATAGACCATATCAGCTCTAGATTATTAAATATGGTTTTCTGTGGGCAAACAGATGGCGACTACTGGGTGGTATATGTTCTGTATCAGAAACTAGAGCTGATGCGGCCTATCCAATGAAATTTTCTGAATCAGTACCTCAAATAACCAAACCGAATCTAAAGTTGTCCAAAAACTGATTCATAACCCTTTTGGTCCTAATGTTGGAGAGTGGCCCTGGTCAAAGTGGTCCCTGGTCACAAAAAGATTGGGAACCACTGCTTTAGAGTATTTAGGGCACATTTAGTCTTAGTCAGTGGCAAATTATACCTGCAAGTGCTTTCACATCTATATAAATTTTAGAGCAGAAATGCTTATACCTTTTTATATCTCATCATCACAAAAAGAAACTGAGCAGATAGTATTAAATGACAAAAATGTGCTCAGTTTGGAAGTATGGGATTAAAGCTGAGTCCTGAATCTAAAAGAAGGAGGAAACTACTGCTGAATCTGTATTTTCATCATTTAACCAAGGTCAGGATTTTCATGGGCAATGTGGGCAGATGTTATTTCTGTTTTTCAATGAAAACCAAACTCCCTTGCATTTTTTTTTCTTATTTGTTCCAAGTCAGCTAATGGTCATTGAAGGTATAGCCTGTTTTTATAGTATGTGTAGCCTTCAGGAATCAAAATATATGCTGCTAGCCTCAATAACAGTAAATCAAGTTTGAACTTGCCTGAAGTCTTTGTTTTTTACTATGTAGCTATACACTATTTTTTCTCCCTCTGCATATTTTAGAAGAAAAACATATTTGCCTGTAAGCTTTGAATGCTAACATAATGAATTTATTGGCTTTTTGTTTTTCTGACAAAGTATATATCAGTGAAGGCTTTGGAATTCGTTTATTGTTAGCAGGGCTACTCTTGCATATCTCTACAATACTTTCAGAAACCTTAGGATATTTATATTCTGAACAAGCCAAAACCTTATAGGGTTCATTTTGATTCCTGGCTTTAAAAATGAAATGTTTTTAGGCTGATCACTCAAAAGGAACTAGGAGTATGTCTCCTTGCACTTAGGGACTGAATAACATAAATTTTAGATCAGCGGTGGGGAATACATAACTATCTTTCTCCTTTATCCACCATCATTTTAACTTCTGGCTATGCAGACTGGCTACGACTGGTTTTGCAATGTGACAACATCTGAAGAGCCACACAGTTGCCATACGACTTTTAGACCAGTGGTTCTGATTTTAAAATGTTGTTTTTATATGCTATATGTTTTACTTTATTGTGTTCTATTATGTGTTTATTTTATGCTCTGTTTTAGGTACTTTCTGCCATATGTAAGCTGCCCCGAGTCCTTTTGGGGAGATGGAGGCGGGGTACAAGAATAAAGTTATTATTATATTATTCTCAACCTGTGGGTCTCCAGATGTTTTGGCCTTGAATTCCCAGAAATCCTAACAGCTGGTAAACCGTCTGGGATTTCTGGGAGTTGTAGGCCAAAACAGTGGTTCTCAACCTGGAGACCCACAGGTTTTCAATTCTGAGGAATATTCTGTCTGCTTGTCTGTCTCTCTCAGAGCATCTAACTTTATCCACATTTGTATACATGTATAAAAGCATCTTGGTATAGTAGTTTGAATGTTGAGCTACAGCACAGTGGGCCAGCATATAAATCCCAGTTCAGCGAGGGACAATACAGTATATTCATTTAGGACTACAGCATCAATTATTAGTTCAAGGATGGCATAGTAGTTTAAATGTTATTAGGACTCTTGAGATCAGGGCTTGAGCATGTCACATTCTCTCAGAAACCTATTGGGTGGCTTGAGCATGTCACATTCTCTCAGCCTTGAAAGGAGGCAAGGGCAAACCCCTTCTGAAAAAAATCTCTTCAATAAAGCCTTTTAATAGGTTTGCCTTAGGGTCACCACAGGTTGAAAATGATTTGAAGATCCACATATCTGCGTATGTATATGGGAGCTAGAGTCCTGGATTGTGCATCACTATGTCTTTTGAAAAAATCATACTAGTGAATATCTATGATGTGGTTCTTTCTCTTCTTATGCACAGTGGATGACTGCTGGCCGTGGCATTCTCCATGCAGAGATGCCCTGTTCTGAAGAGCCAGCCCATGGATTACAGCTTTGGGTTAATCTGCGAAGCTCTGAGAAGATGATTGAACCTCAGTACCAAGAACTGAAAAGCAAAGAGATACCCAAACCTTCACAGAATGGTGTGACAGTGGCTGTCATTTCAGGAGAGGCATTGGGTGTCAAGGTAAGCGATTTAATGACAAGCTATGAAAGAACAGATTCTTCGAAAAGATGAGCTCTCCTGCTAGTTCTCTAAGGCCAGAGATAGGAATAGTATGGCTGTTAGGCTGCATGTGCCATTCCGCAGAGCTATGTTTGTGACTCCCCAGTCCATTTTATTTGTAGTCAAATGAAAGGAAGAACTTACTTCTCCTGGATGCTTCCAGAGACTCTTTCACATTATCTAAATATGGCTCAGGTTCGGTGCTCCATGCAGTCATGTTGGCCACATGACCTTGGAGGTGTCTACAGACAACACCAGCTCTTCAGCTTAGAAATGGAGATGAGTACCAACCCCCAGAGTCAGACACGACAGGACTTAATGTCAGGGGAAAACCTTTACCTTTACTTCAGCATCACTTATACAGAATTCCGAAATACTCCAAAATTGTCCACATTCATGGCTAAGACAGTGATATCTTTGCTTTCTGATGGCTCAGTGTACACACACTGTTTCATGCACCAAGTTATTAAAATATCTCATTAAATTACCAGATTAGGGGTGGTGCAGGGGGTTAAACCTCTGAGCTGCTGAACTTGCTGACCGAAAGGTTAGCGGTTCAAATCTGGAGAGTTGGGTGAGCTCCCACTGTTAGCCTCAGCTTCTGCCAACCTAGCAGTTTGAAAATATGCAAATGTGACTAGATCAATAGGTACTGCTTTGGTGGGAAGGTAACAGAGCTCCATGCAGTCATGCTGGCCACATGACCTTAGAGGTGTCTACGGACAACGCTGGCACTTCGGCCTAGAAATTGAGATGAACACCTCAGACATAAGTAGACATATTGTCAGGGGAAATCTTTATGTTTACAATCAGATCATATGTATAAGTTGTGTATGAATCATAAATAAGTTTCACATTTAGACTTGGGTCCCATTTTCAAGATATTACATTACATTGCATTATGCACGTATATGTAAGTACAGGCATACCAAAATCCAAAGAACAATCTAAACCCCCCAAACAATTTTGGTCCCAGTCATTTCAGATAAGCAATATTCAACCAGTACAACTCTGTTGGTTTTTTTTTTTTTTCATTTTTGGGAGGTTGATTTAGAATTATTAGTCACAGAGCTCTGGTGCCTCACCAACCTATAGAAAAACAGCATTGCATATGATTCAGCAATGGCAGTTAAAATGGAAAAATAGTGCTGTAATTATACAGTGTGGACAGTCTCCAGAAACAGCCATTCGTCTTTTTAAAGCAATCAGGGGGCTTTCCTTGCTGGTTAACATCAAAAAATATCAATTTTCAAAAGACAAAGTGGCTTTTTATTTCTTGATTAGTTTTCAGAGGTGCTTGCATTTTAGCAGTCTGTGTGGCCTTCAAAAACTCCTTCAGCAGAAAATCTGTGCCCAGATGTAAAGCAGTTTTTAACATAAGTGTCCTCTCTCCACGTTAGTGTGAGGGTTTACAGAAGAGTCTCTCTTGTTTCAATATCTTCCCTTCCTGAGTCTACTTCTACCTCTCTGCTGCTGACTTCTTCACAACAATGCCCAAGGAGACACATCCACAATGACTACTTAGCATGGATTGGAGGCATCTCAAAAACATGAGGTTCAAATTAATTCAATGCCAACACAATTCAATTGTGTTGGCATTGAATTGTTGCCATTGTAAGCCACCCTGAGTCCCCCTTTGGGGATTGAGAAGGACAGGGTACAAATGTTGGAAATAAATAATAATAAATAAATAAATATATGAACAGACTTCAGAGGCCTTCAACCAGGAGAGGTTAAATGGCAGTATACTTCAAAATAGGCTTAGTAATACACATCAGCAAGCATAGGTGTAAACCATATTGCAGGGGTCCCCAAACTATTTAAACTGAGGGCCAGGTCACAGTCCCTCAAACTGCTGGAAGACCGAATTATAATTTGAAAAAAGCATGAATGAATTCTTATGCACACTTCACATATCTTATTTGTAGTGCAAAAAAACACTTAAAAACCATACAATAATTAAAATGAAGAACAATTTAAAAATATAAACTTATTAGTATGTCAATGGAAAGTGTGGGCCTGCTTTTGACTGATGAGATAGGATTGTTGTTGTTGTGTGCTTTCAAGTCATTTCAGACTTAGGTTGACCCTGAGCGAGGGCCAAGTAAATTACCTTGGAGGGCCGTATCTGGCCCTCGGGCCTTAGTTTGAGGACCCCTGCCATATTGCATGACGAAACTGATCAAGTAGTGGGTGATCTGGCAATCCACATATAGGGTGAGTTGGGAAAAAAATCCTCCATGGTGTATAAGCACCACCCAGATCTTCTATATCAGCTGCATGTTAGCTTTGTTTCAGTCTCTGCCCCTTTCACCATGCATTACTTGGTCCATGGAGATGTGCTTCAAAATGCTTAGAAATGTATTTCACTCAGATACAATACTGATTAGAAGGGAGAAGATCTCAAAAGGCGGAAAATCTTGTCATTTTGCAAACAATCATTCCAGAAATAGCAGTACACACACACAGATCTGAATTCAGTATAATCCACGGATGATGGAGTGCTTTTGAGTAGAAAATGCACTTTGGAGAAAAATTCCTGTACATCTTTACTTCCATCTACTCCTCACTTTCAGAAATGAACCCTGAAGGACGCAGCTAGGGGACACCGAGTGTTAAGGATGAGAACCTTGGCATTTGTAACAAGGCTTTTAATGGGTATTTTAAAAGATGTCTTGCTGCATGTCATTCTAGAGACACATAAAAGAGCTAAGTGGATCCTCCTGTCCGTGATAATGTTGAGGCATGCCTCGGTGATATATTGGAATGTGGCTCACAGAGGAAGTCAGTTGCCTTTGTTCTTGCCACGAACCAACATACACTCCCAATCAGAAAAGGTTGAGAAGGAAAAACAAGCAGCGCAACTTGTTAAGCCTGTTCCTGGGACCCCACACGGAATACCTATCCCCTCCCTTCACTTTCAGAGCTGAACCCTGACCTTTGCTCTGCCCCAGCATTCCATGACTTTGTTTTATTAACTTCACTCTTGCCTGTAGAAAAGCAGATGGACCTTTTTATCATGGGCAGTTTAGAGGCTCTTCAGACCTGACACTATGTAACAACATTTGAAATAGTTTCTGCTCCTGGTTTGAAAGTTTCATTTCATGTTTAATAGTTCAGTACTTACTTTGAAAGTTGTTATTGTACTCATTTTTTCTGGCTGCTACAAACTATGTTGAATTGGTTGGGACTCTATGAGGTATTCATTGAAAACCTATAACAAAATGTGGGGTGTTGTGTGGTTTCCAGGCTGTATGGCCGGGTTCTAGCAGCATTTTCTCCAGATGTTTTGCTTGCATCTGTGGCTGACATCTTCAAGAAGAGAGGTGCACAGAATAAACCTTTTCCATGTTTTGATGATAGAACCAATTAGGAAATGACATTTATAACCCAGGAGGAAAAAATCATTTTACATAGTGTCATTTAGTGCAGTAATTGCATCTGGTGAGAATTCAGTAGGAGATATGGGAAAAATGATTTCTGTTGTTGAGCAATTATGAAAGACATAATTGAAGGAAACTGCTTAGGCTCTTGTTTTGATGCACATATTTGGAAACATCCATCTACTCTAGAATTGCTCTGTCTGTGTGTAAATATTCAATAAGCCAGCCTTATGTTTGGAGAGAGAGAGGATAAGATTGGTATTGTTATTATTATTATAGTTATTGAGCTCCCTCATCCTCAAAATTGTGATTTAAAACAGGGCACAACTACAGTGGGCCCTTAGTATCCACTGGAGTCTGTCTTTACTGAAAATACCAAGATACATGGATGCTCAAGTTCCATATTAATAGAACAATGTCCCTTGAATAGAATGGTAAAATTAAACTTTACTTTTAGGATGTTTTAAAATATTTTTGGGGTCTGGATGATTTCTGTGACTGAGTGGGAATTTGAACCTTGATCTCCAGAGTTATAGTCCAGTTGTGAAACCTATATGATATGCTGGCTTCACAGAAGGAAAGTTCCACATTTCCTCACCCAGGAAACAAAATATCTTAATAATATCAATTGCCACCTCCTTTTACCCCAGTGACACTTCCTATGATGGCAGCAAATACATTTAGCACTATTACGGTATAGTGCAGTGGTTCCAACCTGTGATCTTTGGTCCGCAAGAACTAAAATATGGTCCGCAGCCTCACCCTTACTACACCGTTGCAACAAGAGTGACTGGTCTCTCAAAACCCTCTTATAGTGCCAAGGCTTATTAAATATGGTTTTATGTGGGTGAGCAGATGGCGACTACTGGATGGCATATGTTCTATATCAGAAACTAGAGCTGATGTGCTCTATCCAATGCAATTTGTTTAATCAGCATCCCAAATAACCAGACCAAATCTAAAGTTGACCAAAAACTGATTTGTAACCCTTTTGGTACTAATGTTGGAGAATGGTCCTTGGTCAAGTGGTCCCTAGTTTAAAAAAAAGATTGGGAACCACTGGTATAGTGGTTTGAGTGCTGAAATAGGACTCTGGAGACAAGAGTTTGAATATTTCTCAACCACAGAAATCCAGTGGGTGACCTTCAGCAAGAAATACTCTCAACCTCAGAAGAAGCTAAAGGCAAATAGGTTCACCACATCAGAAATGACTTGAAGGTGTACAATAATAGGAATTATGAGGGCAGAATCTGAAAGTTACTTATTGTTCTAGTCATATTTGAGAATACTAAGCAGTCTTACTAAACGTAAGCCTTTAATGTTGCCCAGCTACTGGTTCTAGCCATATGGAGGCATTCATGTCTTAAAATAAAGATATGTCTGCAGTCAAGTTACAAGAAATGTTCTTCAGGCACTCAAAGGATGACTTCTCATTGCATACTTTTCTGAAACTTTTCCAATTGCAGGTCTTTAACTTTATCACTTTTTAACATTCCTCCCCTGGATTTTATTGGCAAACATGTTGTTCATTATGAAGATAAATCAATGCCACATGTAAGTTGTATGGGCTAATGAAATTGTTGTTCATACCAGTGGAAAGCCATTGCCTTTTCTAGTGCAAGTAGGACAAGGGAAGAAATCCTTCAGGCCCAGCATAAATTCTCTGTTGCATTTAGAAGCTGACTTGTTGATCATTTTAATGCTCTTGGTATATTACCATGTATAACTTGGGGGAAAATAAATTATGCGGGATGAACCAAAATGGGGTTTGCATACCAAAGCACTCATAAATTCTTTCAGCATGTGGCTTAGATGTTTCACAGAGCTGCTTTAAAAGACATTTTGATTTAATACATCCCTTTCCAGAAGAGATGCATTTCTTCCTGTGATTCATTTCCTGATCAGAGCTACAATTTGTAGGACGACTGAAGTACAAAACATCACAACTTGATGGCGAAGTGGAACTGGTTTGTTCTTTTCCTCCGAGAACAGCTATTTTTTCTTATGAGATAGGCAAAACAGTTTTGAGTTGTATGAGGTGTACTTTTGACGTGAAATATTGTGGAATAGTTGCTACAGAAATATATTTGTGTTTTTTTTTACTGCCAATTTTATTTATGCCCTTTCAGGCATCTCTGCTTAGGGAGATTCATGGGTATTACCAATGTCCATAATCTAAATTGTTGACATTTTTAGATATGCAGCTGTAAGATATACAGTCATAGGTATATCATATATCACTCAAATCATATGAATTTGAGTCAGCCCGCCACTTTCACTGAACTGCAAAAGTAAATAAATAAATAAATAAAGTCCGCTGCAAAAGTAAATAAATAAATAAATAAATAAATAAATGTGTCCCTTTGAGTTTTCTCATGATGTTTCACCCACATCTATGGCAGGCATCCTCAGAGATTATGAGGTCTGTTGAAAACTAGGCAAGTGGGGTTTATATTCCAGCAGACCTCACAACCTTAGTATGCCTGCCATAGATGTGGTGAAATGTCAGGAGAGAATGCTTCTGGAACATGGCCATACAGCCTGGAAAACTCACAGCAACCCAGTGATTCCGGACATGAAAGCTTTCGACAACACAAAAAGTCATTATTTTTTATCCTGCAAATTCACCTTTTTAGGAATCTCGAGGTCCTCCAGTGCAATTCTGTGGTCAACTTCTAGTGGAAATTGGTTATAGAGTTACACTGAAGGACCTAGAGATCCCTAAAGAGACAATTTTAGGCTAATATGTTGATAATCAAATATACAAAAGTCAAACTGCAAATGTTGAGGGCCAACGGGATATTGAAATTAGATCAGTGCAGAACAAAGGCACTTGTAGACTTGTGATGTTTTTGTTAGATTTGTTTTTGTAACACTTTTCATTTCTTGTAACAATGCTAACTGAACCAAGGTGCTACAACCCATCCTAACCATTGGTGAATGAATGAAAGGTCTCTCTTGAGCCTGGAAACCTCCAGGGTTGAGAGGTTATTCCCTTTGCTAAATTAATCCTTGGTATCCCTGCTGAGACTAATGAAGTCAATGTGAGTTTCTAGGGATTAGGTTACTGAAATACAGGCCTGAAGATCTGAACCAGAAAGAGAAACATATTTCCTCCATCCCATGCCTGTGCTTTCTCTATTTACAGATTTTTTAAAAAGGAAATTCATTTTCTCAAGAAGTATCTGTATAAGTCTGATGTGTGTGCTGTGTTTGTATAAAATTTAAAAGGCTTATTTTAGTGTTCTGAAGTTAGTAGTTTGAATATGAAGTCATCATGAGTAGTAGCCATTAATGACTTGTTTTCCATTAGTTTGTCTGTCTTTTCTAAAGCCATTCACAGTAAAAACAAGAGAATTTCATACTTCCTAGGCAGGAACGCAGTTATCCTTCATCGCTCAAAAAGTTGTATAGAAAGTTTCATACAATAACGATGTACATTAGGGAGACATCTTCTTGGGCAAAAGGAAGAGTATAAATTCAATTAAATTAGTAAATAATATGGAGAGTGTATGTTTGCAACAATAGTCAGTTCTGACAAAGATAGCATGTAGTAACCTGTATTGTGCTTGAAATGAAGTTGTTCTACGAGTGGGACTTTGTCTGAGGCAGCTTGGGTATGCAGTTGACATTAATACACTTATATGTATCTGTCTTATAGCTAGACATATATAGAATTGAACTCTTAATCTCTTACATCAGGCATTTCTGGAAATGACTTGGCGTCATTTCTGTAAATGTGATTTATGTTCAAAAGGCAGAACAGATGAAATTCTGGGTTTGCCTTGATGGGGTCTATGCTCCCCATGAAGGTTTCTAGCATTTGCAAAGAACATGACACCAAAAATCATTGGCAGTTAGAACTCTTAAATCTGCTGTGTTCACATCTTCTTGGAAACTGTGCTTTCCACTTTTGTTTGGGTATCTAAGTGTATTTCTAAATGATCAACTTATCTTTTAAATTATTGTAGTGCTAAAAATTTGGAAATTGGGGAAAGGCAGGATTTTCCCTTGCAAAGCCAAAGCCCTCGTATGTTGTTTCCTCTCCATCACCATTACTATATCCTTGTATACCCAGAGTATTTTCTACCTATTAAGATAGAATCATAGAGTTGGAAGATACTTCCATCCAGTCCAACCCCTTGCCAAGAAGCAGGGAAATCACATTCAAAGCACATTCAAAGTCCCGACAGATGGCCATCCAGCCTCTGTTTAAAAACCCCCAAAGAAGGAGCCTCCACCACACTCTAGGGCAGAGAATTCCACTGCTGAACAGCTCTCACAGTCAGAAAGTTCTTCCTAATGTTCAGATGGAATCTCTTTTCTTGCAGTTTGAAGCCATTGCTCAGTAACCTAGGTGTTTCTTCAGTTGTTTCTTCTTGTCTTCCTAGTCCAAAGTGTACACTCGCACACCAACACTGTATCTGGATTTCAAGTTAGATGCAGGAGCAAAGCACACCCAACCAGTTCCCAAAGGTAAGACACATTTTCTCCATCTGGCAGAAAAGGAATCTCAAACAGTGTAAATGACAATGTTTGGATCTGAATCTCATTTGTGATATAATGTTCTGGAGTGAATTATTATCTTGGAATGTTTTAATCTTATGTGCTGCCTGCAGTTAGGGTGAGTTTCTTTTTGCAAAGTGAGCAGAACAGGGGTGTAAATCAACAACAAAACCAAATGTAGCACTGTGTCTACATGTTGATTTTGAATGGACAGAATCATTGCTTTTCCAATGCCAAGCTATACATTACACTAACTTTATGGCATGTATATACATCTTGCTTTTGATAAATAAATTAAGAGGCACACAGGGAGGGGGAATTGTTGTTTCACAGGCTACATGCAGTGCAAGGAGGCCTCTTCTACCCAATTCTCAGCCATATTTTAGCTGATAATCTCTCTCTCCTTGTAGCTCACTGCTTAAGGAAAAAGAAACCCCATTTTGGTAGCAATATGAGCTCCCCACCTCCTTAAAGTATATGGTGCAGTTGGAGGGAGGTCAGCTTTCAACTGAAATATGAGATAAGCCTCTTCATGCCATATGCCATGTACAAAGTATGCCCCCAAGCACACCTCTCCCTTTCCCTTTTAAGCTTAACATGTAGTTTGGCCCTTGTTCACCCAGTAATAAGGAGGCTGAAAACATTCTGAATTGGTCTGAATTTTCACTCTAGTATTATTATGTTACATTTCCCTGTTCAGTTATGTTCTGAAGTCCCTTTATGCTATAAAAATCTTGGAAAGAATAGTTCATTTTTACCCATTATTCATATTTTGTAGATGGGTTTCAAACTAACTTAGGCATGGATGCACAGTTACAGCAGTTTGGTGCTATTTGAGAGAGGAACTTTGCTAGAGAGTTCTGGGACATGTCTCAAAAATATAGTATTAGAGCTATCTAGCCAAGAATTGTGAGAATTTCAGGATTCCTATGGTTGATACAAATATACTGTCACCAAAAAATATGCATTATGATAGCTTCCCACAATTGCCCTGCTTCACCCAGAACATTTAGTCAGACATTCCATCTTAATAGTCCCTTAATCTAGAGTCAACCGCTGCTTTGAAGAGTGGTTGACTCTCTTTCTTTGGAGGTCATTAAATGGGAGTTAGATGGGTATTTTCCAAGAGTCTCAACTGATTATCCTCCAGTTCAGTCTATGTTTCAGTCAAATTCTCCAAAGCCACACAGTTATTATCAGGAGGAGGAGGTCAAAGTAAGACCGCCAAGCCCAAAGAAAAAAGAAGACCCAGGTGGCTGCCACAAATCCTCCCTCACAAACGCAGCCAAAGGGCTTTGCACTCAAAGCTGTGAAGTATGCATTTTAAACGCAATCTGGTACATGGCATTGACTAAATCTTAGGCTGAACTGGAAGAAAACTGGGTTGCCTGTCAGACTCAGGTGGGTCTGCTTCATCTTCGGACAAAGAACTCTCAAGCAGGGAGGGATGGCATGACACGGAGCAGTAAATGATGCCTCCTTTCTGAGATTTGAGGTGGACAGTACCCAAGGCTAGACAAGTTATATTCACAGTTCAGGGATAAAAATTCCCCCTTTCCTGGCAGTAAGAAGTACAGTATTTTTAAAATGGACAGTTGTCACTTGCTTTTTATGAAAGTTACTGTTTCACTGGCAGGCAGCCCCAAATGTACTTCAGCAGCCAGGCAAATAGTTTGGATGTAAAAGGATCTAAATTAGTCGTTGCCATTGCCATTGTAAGGCTGGAAGGTCTTCAATCTGAAACCCTGAAGAGTTGCTGTAAGGAAAGATAGACACTATTAAACTAGAGGAACCAATGGTCCAGTTCATTATACCACTGCTTGCTGTGACTTTCTCATATTTTTATGTATTTCCTGTTTAGTTCACAGTGCTTGCTGAAAGTGATACAAAATGCAGTCCTTTCTTGCACATCAGGATTTCATAGCTGCCTTACAAAGAATGCTGGAAAACTTAAAATAGCCATGAAATTGAAAATAAATCTTCAATTCGTACTTTATGTATAAGGGCCTTAGAGTCACAGCTACAATCCAATTTGGCACTGGTGGTGACAGATTTTGACTGCAGTATATTTTGATTTCATCAAAACAGAATTGTGTGTTCTTCCAACTAAAAAGGGGGGCTGCTCAGAGCTCCCTCCATGATGTTTGTTGTACCATCCCTCATCCATCTTCTCCTTACTTTCCCGTCTAAATTGTCTTTTGTCTTTTGGTGCTGTTTCTATTGCTATTATTGATATTCACATTGTATGTTTATTTAATTCCAACTGTTTCCCAGTCTGGGATTTAAGGAAGCTTGCAGCAATTAAAAGAATCCTACCTAAAAATATTCCAGATACAAAAGTTAAAATACTATTAAACTAGCCACAAATTAAAATGAGTTAGGAAGCATAGCTGTTGGAAAGGTCAGTTCTGTGAGGCCCATTTACCTTGAGCAATTGGTCTTTAAATAAATGCTGAAATCAGAAAAAAGGTCTTTGTTTGCCTGTTGAAAGATAGCAAGGAGGGTGTCAGTTTAACCTTGCTCTGAAGGGGGTTCTGGAGCATGGGCAACCATCTGAAAAGTCCCTCTTCTGTGTCCCGACCTGGATGCTCTATGCAGAAAATCTCAAAAAAAAAAAAAAAAAAAAGGAGTGGCCTCGTTGGGAGAAATATGGCCCTTCAGATAATTTTCTCTTTCACCTCTTCCTTTCCCCTCACCCAGTATTTATGCATCAAGACATTAAGGACTCTGCAGGAGCTGTCTTCTGCCTGAGCTGGGGGCATTGTTGATTTGACTGTATAAGCATCAACAACCACTCCATTAAGTTGGAGGGAAAGGAAGGTGTGATATAATGGCTGTAATATATACATGTAATTACCTACATGTTGCAAAAGCAGCTCTCGGCCCCTTATATGATCTTAAACCCTAAAGATAACCATACAATGTTGATTTTATCTTTAGGATGTCTTCCTGTATATGTCTATTTATGGATAAAAATGGGGGTCTCTTATCTGGAGCATAGCATGGCAGGATTATTGTGTCTAAATTATGGAACTCTGAGCTTGTTCTGGGATAGATGCCCAGAAAAAGGGGAAGATGTGACCTTGAAAGGAAAGTAGCTGTGCCTGAAATCCATGTGTTATTTCAGAGATTCATTTGAAAAGAAGATGTTTTTGAACTGCCATAGTCTTAGCAGTAATATTTAAGAAAAATATAAGTAGACCAGAATATAATGTTGATTTTTTTTCACTCATTAATGTCAAATTGCTGTGTTTTGCTTGGCTAAAAAAGGAATGATTGACCTTTTTGTCTAGTAAAGCAGAATCTTATCTGATCTCTGTTCTGAAATGTATCTGTTAATATATTAATTCCCATCAAACATTGTAGGATTGTAGAGATTGGGAAAGCAATGTTTTGTCTCAGAATCAGCCAACCAATGTGACCAGCGGATATACTGGCTGGAGGATCCTAAAGGTCTTCACTCCATATTCACAATTATTTTTTCCCAAAGCTGTAACATTACCACGAGTAAAATATATTTCAGGACTGTTTGGAATACAAAAAAGAAACCACAAAATAGAACATCTGATTGTGGGTTTCAGGTGTGCCACTGCATAGCAAAACTGAAAGATACTCAGTCCTAAGGATCCTGTGTGTCTGCAGCCCTTTTCCTCTTCTCCTCTCATTGGACAAGAAACAGAGTAAAGACAGTGGATAATACAGGGATATTAAAACACACATTATGTCAACTGACAAACACACACACACATACCATTTCTGCTAACAAAACATCCCTCTTCTCTCTTGCACTCAGAAGGTATTATTATTATTACATTGTTATTATTATTATTATTATTATTATTATTGTTAATTTTATTTATATCTCACCTTTCTTCCAGTGAGGATTGAAGATGTCTAACAACCACATAACCTAATGACAACTTAAAACAAAGCAAATGCAAAAATTAAAATGCAATCAAATATTGGTGTGTGTATATAAAGTTACAATACAATTAAAATACAATACATAACATTGAAATTACATTTAAAACTGACCTTTCTCCCAAATTTTCACCCACAACCTCTCCAGCTCCTTATCCTTCCCCAAATGCAGCTGGCAAAGAACTATCTCAACTGGCTTGCGAAAGGGAGGAAGTTCCAGAGTTTGGGAGCAGCTGCCATAAAGGCCCTTTCTTTTATTTCCACCAAACACTCTTGAGTGTGTGATGGGACAGAGAGAAGGCCCTCCCCAGGTGATCCCGTCTGTCAACTCCAGCTTCTCATGCAGGGACATGAGAAAAGCCTTCCACAGGATGGTAAAATATCCGGGCATCCCCTGAGCAATGTCCTTGCAGACAGCCAATTCTCTCACACCAGAAGCAACTTGCAGTTTCTCGAGTCACTCCTGACTCCAAAAAAAGGTGATTGTAGATATCTGGCAGATTTGTAAAGAGAGATACGGCCCTTCAAACAATGGATTTAAGCTGTATAAGGCTTTACAGGTCAAAACCAGCATTCTTTTTGTCCCTTGTCTCAGCTGAAAGAAAGACATAGGAAGAGAACAAACTGAGGTGGGCATGCAAACATATATTTCAGCATCCCATAAGAAAAGTCTAATTGCAACTTCAGATTTCCTCCTTGGGAAACAAACAAATCAAGAAACAAAGGGTTTGGCTGTCCTCCCTACATGCATTTTACTTATTAGAGTAGATGTAAAAAGTCAAAGTAAGGATTGCATCAGGCAATCCATTTTACAGCTTGGACATTGTGATAATTAAGGAAAAGGGGTAGGCAGTATGGAGAGTTGCGTGAAATGTATCACTGTGACAATTAAAACTGTAAAACTATTGAAATATCGTAATGATTCAGGGTCAAATCCTTATGTACTCATTTCAAAAAAGCTTCTCAACATGGCTGAAATCTCACTTGTACCTTTGCAAGTATTTCCAATATTGACTGCCATATGCTAAAATTGATATATTCTATGGGATTCTATATAATCCATCTTTTTGTCTTTCAGGTTGGACAGCATTTATTTATACACTCACTGGCAACATTTGTGTTGGTAGGTTTCACATTGATTCCTTACTACTGTTAAGATTTTTGTAATGCTACAAAAGACACAAAATGTAAATAAAAGAATGTTTTTTTTTTTACCCAGATAAATTAATTGTGAAACAGGCAATGACATCTGGTACATTTTTTCCTCTTTGTGAATTATTACTGTAAAAAATTAGTAAATGCACGGAATTACCTCTGCCCACTCTCTGTTGTAATTTTCTGGTATTCATTTACTATCAGTCCTAATTATCTGTGGTATGAAGTGAAAGTCATTTCCCTCTACACATAACAATGGAGTAACAGCTGCTTGTGTTTTGAGAAATAGAACCGTTATCTCAAAAGACTATAGTGATTCTCAGTCTCCCATACAATTCCCAAATAAGCGCTGCTTCCGGGGAAGAGAGAGGTTCCAAGAATACTTATAACATGTTGCTTAGACATATTAGAACTCTTATTTTTCTGGTTCTGCCTGACCAGCTGACTGACTGGGATATTTTGTGGAAGGGGCTTGAATGATTATACAGTCAACCTCCACATTTATAGATTTGACCTTTGCAGATTTCATTATTTGTATATTTGAATAATATATTCTATCTGGTAATCTCGAGGTCTTTCAGTGCAACTCAGTGGTCAACTTTCTTAGGAAATGTTGCTAAGTTGCAGGAAAGAAAGTTGACCATAGAGACATGCTAGATGACATAAATATTTCAAAAAATAATACCTCTGTAGGAATCTCTAGATCCTCCAATTTACTGGAGAAGTGTTCTCTCAGGTTTTAAAAAAAACATTGTTTTTACTTCACAGTTTATTGGAGGAGTGTTCTCTCCTATTTTTGCACTGGTCCTGCATCTCTGTCTCCATCAAATGTTGAGGGCTAATTGCATATGTTACAGAAACAATATATGTGAAGTTTTTGGGGATTGGTAAATGTAAGTAAACAGAAGCATTACCACAGTTTTTGAACCAAGATATACCTTGTAGTATAATAAATGTCACTCGGGCTTGTGCAACAAGTAACAGTATCTGTACTTCAGTTCTAAAATTCAAACAGGGCAACAATATACAGTATACAGCAGTCTCTATGAATTCACACAGAGAATAGAGGGAATCAACAGTCCTTTTAAACAGTCTTTAAATTACATTCCACGCTTTAAAAATGATCAGGCTTCAGAGAGTTGGCAGCCATTTCCTTTCTGGCTGTTTCCAGTCAGCGCTCTCTTCACTCTCCAAAGTGAAAGTGACAGTTAAAACCGTTTGTCTCAGCAGCAAGCCAGAAACAGCAGACAATCAGAACTCTGGCCCCTGGCATGCTCAGCCAACCAGCTGCCGATACATGTCTTTCCAGTTAACCGACCGTATGGTGTTTCTTTTCAAATCCTCACAAAGTTCACTAGCTGGTACCTCTTTGATGCTGTTACAACAGCTGAGATCTTTAAAAGTTATTTTCTTTCCAAAGGTCATGCTGATGCTCAACAAAAGGTAGAGCCTCACCACACAGCAGTGCTGGATGATGGGGATTGTGTCCAGTTTGAGAATAAGGTATTTTAGAATTGATCATTATGATTCCACAGCACTTCTCTCCTTACCATGCTGCTAACATGTGTACTTTAAAGGATTAAATACATTTATTACTGTTCAGGCTATTGATTGTTTCATGATGTTGTGTTATGTTTTATGATGTGTTTACTTTATTTTTTAATTTTTTTATTTTATTGCGTCGTGTTCTTAATCTATGTTTGCCCAGGATTGTCACCATGTAAGCTGCCCCAAGTCCCTTTGGGGAGATGGAGGCGGGGCGTAAAAATAAAGTTATTATTTTATTATCTGATAGGATTTAACACTTAGTCTGAGACACAACATAGGTCCTCAATAAAGAGCCAAGACAAGGGAAACTATCATTAGAATATTGTAAGAACTGCTACAGAATTTGGATCAAAATTCTTCTTATGCCATGTTCAAAAGCATATGTAGGATGTGCACTGTAAGGTATATGATGCATACAAGTGAAGCTTAGTTGCAATTCCTACAAAGTTATACCTATGTAAATACCATCTACTGTAAATAACATCTATGTAAATAACAACTACTAAAGAATAAGTGTGCTGATTGACATAGATTTCAATTTTAATTCCTCTTATTTTATTCAATTTTTTAGTTATTTATTTTTAAAATTTAATATGTGATATGCTTTGGTTGGCCCGTCTAATAAATATGTTCCCTATCGTGAAAAACAAGGTGTGATGTATACATATTGTGATGTATCAATTTTGTTTAAGTCATCAATGTTGATAATTTTTTGGTCTTTTAGGAATCAACTATTATTAGTTTATACTGTCATTGTTCTTATTTATTATTTGTTATGCGTGTTATTGGCACTGAATGTTTGCCTTTTTTTATTGGATACCGCCCTGAGTCCCCCAGGGGACCCAGGGCGGGTTTAGATAAATAATAATAATAGTAATTATTATTATTATTATTATTATTATTAAAAATGATGGACCCAATTTCAAAGTAGCATATTTCTTGATGGCTACATGTTACAATTATACAAAATGTTAGAAACGGCTTTATGGGTTATCAAGTTATCAAGTTTTGCTAACCATTTTGATCCAGAAACAAATCTAAAAAATGAACCTGAAAAGGTTAATATCTCATTATGTTGTGGGTTGGGAGAGGTACCAGCAGTAGTCATTTGCAAATGAGTGAAGGTAGGGGTTGTCTGTGTGTTGGGAGAGGATTTGACGGTAGTAATTTGAAACTCTGTGCCACTCCTTTTCAAAGGTTAAGAGTTTCATTCATGGCAATGTGGTTGCAGAGATACAGGCAGTTCCTGAGTTACAAACATCTAACTTACAAACAACTCATAATTAAGAAAGAGTGTGAGACAACAGAAAATGAGAGAACTCTACCCCTCAGAAGGAAGGGAAAATCCGTCTAAGAGAATTCTGTTTTTATCATGGGGGAAAAATGAAGCTTTATCACCAATCCTAATTTCCATGACAAGACAATTTTTTTCTAAATCAAATTATCATAGACAGAAAGTAAGGTGAAGTCTTCTGAACAGGGGCACAGAGAGCAAAACAAACACCACAGGGGTGTTAACCCGTCCCTATGCTATCCAAACCTAGCTAGTGCTCTCCCTCTCTCCCTCCCTCCCTCCCTCCCTCCCTCTCTCTCTCTCTCCCTCTCTCTCTCCCTCCCTCGGCTCTTCGGCTTAGAAATGGAGATGAGCACCACACCCCAGAGTCAGACATGACTGGACTTAATGTCAGGGGACAACCTTTACCTTTATATATATATAGAGAGAGGGGGGGGGGCAGTTTGGATAGCATAGGGAAGGGTTATCATCCCTGTGGTGTTTATTTTGCCCCCCCCCTCCCCCCTTCTCTCTCTCTATATATATGGACTTAGATTTTACAATGTACCTCTTCCAACTTAAACGAATTCAGCTTAAGAACAAACTTACATAGCCTATCTTGTTCATAACTTGGAGAATGCCTGTATAGCAATTTCACATTGAGTCCATCTTTTTAAAACACATACTTTTCAGAAGCACATCAACTCATTCAAACTAGGTCTTGGAGGTTTTAGAAGAACATAGGTGTTATTGATCACTCTAATACAGTTTGCAAATTGGTGACTCAGAGAATGAACACATGACAGCTGCCTATACTTTTAGCTGATAGGATGCAAAGCATGCTAGAAATTCAGGGTTGTAGCTCATGGATGATCACATCCATCACATACAGAGGGTCTCCCTTTCATTTAATGTTATCTCCAGGTGGACCTGTTGTGTGTGGGACTGAGAGATGTTGTATGTCACTGCAGACTAATGGCTCCCAAAGCTCAGTTCCCTGGTAGTACTTCAGTACAAATCCCATTAACCCTGTTTGTGTTGGTTGGGTACTATAGGAATTACACACTTGATCTTAACAAAAAGGCTATGGGAATTGTAGTCTAATGACATCTAGATATCCAAGTTAAATAACCATGGGAAAACATTTGAACTAAATGAACTAATATTCTAAATCTGTAAGGCATCTATATATGTACTCCCAAATCAAACGAATTGTTATTTTAGTCTGTTGAAATTATTCCCAAAGAAGTAAAGTTTCCATTGTTTGAGTATATAATTTATGTAATATGATCAATGCCATGGGATAAAAAAGAGTGGCTTATTTTACATTTCTAGTGAAACCAAACATTTCTGGGCTAGAAAATAGATTATTTTGTGGTTTGTTCAAAAAAGTAATTTATTTTCTGGATAGGATTTTGGAGAGAATATAATTGAAAAATTTAAAAACCCATTGCACTTCTGCTCCTGTGTTTTCTTAGAAAAATTGGATTTGACATGATCCAGAAATGGTTCTTTTTGTTGTATTTACCCAATGTTGTGGGCTACGCCCTAATATCCTGAGCCAATTTTGCAATACTAATCAACATATGTCCTGAGAGCAACAACAGATTCTGTTGCAATTCTTCCTTGTAAAATGTGCAGCAGTTCTTCAGCTCAGAAAGTTTGTGATTTTCATCTTCTGCTGATAGGGCAAGAAGCAACATTTTGTTCATTCTCAACAGCAGTGCAATTTTAGAAGGGAATTTGTCTATATCTCGGACTTTTAAAAATAAAAGAATGAATATGTGAATCACTTTTGGCCTGGGCTATGTATATTCTGAATTGATACGTATACCTGCGTACCACAGCATCTACTAGACAATCATATTTTCTAGACATGGGGTGTGGGATCTGAGCCTGGTTTTTACACTGATTTGTTTAGATTTCTTGCACACATATGAAGGTCTTGTGTCTGCTAAAAGATACACAAAGCAGTGATTTATGTGATCTTGCATGGAATATGCAGTCTTTCATGTGCAACTGTTGTGTAAAGAGAGCCATCCTCCCATGGATGAGAGCTTTTTTGGATTATATGTCTACTTGGAGTATCCCCTTGAAGACAGCTCAGCTGCTACAGCTGATGTAAAATCATTATCAACAACTGGACTACCATGTAGACGAAACATAACACTGGTCTTAAAGAAGCTGTAATAGCTGCCTGTTCACTTCTGATCTGAATTTAAGGTTCTGCTGATGACCATTAAAGCCCAGAAGTGCTTGGGACCTTGATACTTGAAGGAGCACTTCTCCTTGTATATACCTGCCAATTGCGAGAGAAATAAGGTTGAACATTGTGAAAGGCACCCACTATGTAGCTATCAGCCTCTTCCCAGTAGACTTAAATCAAGGAAAAGTTTCATGAGAACCACCATTCCTCTAAATGTTCATCCAGCAACAGCAAGTGGGTTAAATCGCTGATCTGCTAAACTTGTTGACCGAAAGGTCGCAGGTTCAAATACAGGGAGCGGCATGAGCTTCCGCTGTCAGCCCTAGCTTCTGTCAACCTAGCAGTTCAAAAAACATGCAAATTTGAGTAGATCAATAGGTACCGCTCTGTCAGGTAGATAACAGAGCTCCATGCAGTCATGCTGGCCACATTACCTTGAAGGTGTCTACGGAAACGCCAGCTCTTTGGCTTAGAAATGGAGATAAGCACCAACCTCCAGAGTTGGATACGACTGGACTTAATGTAAGGGGAAAAGCTTTACCTTCAACTTAGGCCCCCACAAGGGTCTTCCTCTAGATCAAACCAATAATGGGCAACTTGGAAGTCCCTGAACAAACTCAGAAACGGAGTTGGAAAATCAAAACACAATCTGGCAAAATGGCACTACCTAGAAGAATCCTCCACCTTGTGCAACTGTGGAGTAAAACAAACAACTCAGCATCTGTGTACTTGCCCACAATGCCCTGCCTCATGCACAGAGGAAGAATTGCTTAAAGCTACAGACAATGCAGTTGCTGTTGCAAGTTTTTGGTCTAAAACTATCTAGTAGCTTGTGATCCCTTTATTTTTTCAGATTTAGATAAACTATTTTCTGCAGTGCTTTAGACACGAAATAAATAAACCTGCCCAGCATTCTGCAGTAAGGTCCTTCGCCATGTCCCACCAGTGGGGGAGATACGAAATGGGTGGGCGTGAGAGATGGGTTTTGTTTAAATAATTTACAAATTTAGTCTGTGTTTTAGATTGTTCCATATTGTACACTACTCTGAGATTCCATGATAACAGGTGAGCTAGAAGCATGGCATCGAATACACAAATAAATAAATGAAATTAATGCTAACACAGGGGTCAATCCCATGGGGTAGGGAGAGCTTAAACATGTTGTGTAGGCTCCGTTCTAAGACTTTTATCTATATTTGAGTGGCATTATTTGAGTGGCGGTGCGAGAGAGCATCCCCTTTCATTCATGGCTATGTTAGTGATGTGATTTGGATGCATTATCATTGTTTGACCTGTGAAAATGTGTGTTTTTTCCCGTATTGTTGATTGGTGCTCTCTTTTCATTCCTTTAGGATGCTGAAATGAGTCATTTTGTTTTAGTGGCTGGTGAGCCAATAAAGGAAACAGTGATTCAACATGGTAAACACTTGCTCTTTCAACTGTTTTTTAAACAAGTGGGGAGATGGTGATGGTTTTTTTTACATTTTCAACTGCATAGAATTCTATAGGTGTTCCATTTCTTCCCTCTTCAGTTGCAAAATTATTTATTTTCAGTGACAGACTTGTGTGATCTTGTTCTAGTTTTGATAGATGTGCATTGATGGTGCTTGAGAGGTCTAACTTCAGATCTTGTGCTATAATCCGCTTTGTGTATTTTGCTCTGCTCTTGAACTCTAGATAGAGCACGTATCTGAAAATCATAAACATGTACATCAATTTCATTCTGTCTAATTGATAAAAGGACTTGTTAGAACACTTCATATCACTTTGGAAAAAATTAAATTTTAAAACTTGTCTCTAAACAATGAAAAGTAAAATAAGCAAATGAACGTTACTTGTTTCCTTGTAAACATACTCAGCTGGGTTTTGAATTTGAAATGGAACAGTGAATGTGGCATGCATACCAGCTTCTGCTTCAGTGAGTCACAGGAAAAGTTAGATTACAATATTTGTGTCTTCTTTTTTCCATTTGAAAAGCAGTACAGGTTGTCAAGTTGTGACCTGACATTAAAACAGAATAGTCACGAACACAAGTGTTAGATTAGCAAGAAGACAACATGCTAAAACCAGTTAGTTTAAGCAGTGAAAAATGGCTCCAACCATATATTTCTTTGGAAGTTACTCCCTAACGTACAGCTGCTCTGGTGCAATGAGTAAAACACTGCCCTTCAGATATTGTTTAAATGCATCTTCAAACATTCCTTATCTTTATCTCTGGTGGCAAGGCCGATTGGGAAAGTCTACAGTTCAACAACACTTTTTAGTGCCTGCCAATCTTATTGACCTTCCTGATAGACCAATGACGAAGACCTCTAGAGATGATCATGATGAGTGTATGCAGTCATTCCAATCACGTATCCAGTTGGAGCAGCAGTTCTCTATGATATACTGCTGAAGTGCTTCCTCAGCCTCCCTAATTGAGATCTTTTAAGACCAAATGGAAAACAAAATCTAGTTTAAGATTCTATGGTCTCCAGATCATTCATCAGATGATGTATGATGAAGACTGGAATCCATAAAAGCTTGTGCTAGGAATCCCAACCATCCCTACCCCAAAGTCTCAAGTGTACCACATGTATATCTTTTTATGTTGAAACAGACTACCATGGGCATGGTGTTGAATACATGAGATCTTATTGTTTGGTATTAAAACTGAAGAATAGTCAGTCCTCCATATCCATGGATTCAACAATCCATTGCTTGAAAAAAAAATCCAAAAAGCAAACATTGAAACCTCAAGATGGGGGAACTGTGTGGCTTCCTTTCAATATTGATTTGGATCTGGAATAAAACAGCTGACTGTGACCCTTTCCACTCTACCATATAAAATCTAGATTATCTGCTTTGATAATCTGGATTATATGGCAGTGTATCACAGTTTATCCAGTGTATCACAGTGTATCCAGTTTCTGCTTCCTGCGGAATTCTGGGGCTTGTAGTTTTGAGAGGGGCCTTTAAACTGCTCATACAGACAGGTCCTGGGCCTCACTAAACTACAAGCTCCAGAATTCTTCAGGAGGGTGCAGCCTCATCACACTATGCTTTAAATGAGAAGAAAGTGAAGGCAAGGAATAGGATGGAATTTAAATCCCAGCTATAAAAAGGTAATACAATAATCTACTTAATATAGTGTTTTGTTATTAACCTTTAAATAAATGCATACATTTTTATCCTAGGGCCATTTGTTATGAATACCCAGGAAGAAATTTTACAAGCCATTGATGACTTCAGAAATGCAAGAAATGGCTTTGAGAGAGCTACCACCTGGAAATCAAAGATTGGAAACAAATGATTTGAAATATTAGAAATGCAACTGGTCAACTGATTATGTTTATAGCTGTAATCTTGATTCTCCTAGTCTTTCCTCATGCGTTACTCTCTTTGCTTCACTGGAGCTAATCATGTGGATGTGCCAGATTGACTTATAGAAACAAAGTTAACTTACTGTAATAGAATAGTGCGTCTGAATTTTTAATGTGTTGTCAAAGGCTTTCATGGCCAGAATCACTAGGTTGCTGTGAGTTTTCCGGGCTGCATGGCCATGCTCCTGACATTTCACCCACATCTATGGCAGGCATCCTACCAACAAAGGATTCCCCCAGACATGAAGTAGCCAGGCTTTGAAGCTGCAAGGCTAATTAAGGTGGCCAATTGCAACATTCACACTTGCCTCAAGCAGACAAGAGTTCTTTCTCCCACATTTCACAGATATATAAACCCCACTTCCCTAGTTTCCAGCAGACCTCAAAACCTCTGAGGATACCTGCCATCGATGTGGATGAAACATTAGGAGAGAATGCTTCTGGAACATGGCCATACAGCCCGGAAAACTCATGGCAATTCACTGTATTTCTAATGTACTTTTTTTAAAAAAAATGCAAATATTCTGTAGTAGAAAATGCACAAAAATCTATTTCTCTGTAATAAAAATTGCCTTCAGTTTTCAATGTACACTTCAAACATTTTTTAAACATGAGTATGCTGTACCACAATCTTACAACACAGAGAACTTAAAACATGTAGGAACAAGGTGGTGCTGCTGGGACAGCCCGATTTATAGTGTACCACATAAGAGCATGTGCTGAGGTTTCACGTTTCAGGTCATTCTCCTTAAAATAATGGCCTTCTGCGTTTTTTTGGTTTAATAAAGGCTACGCCATTGGCAGGGACAAAATGGGATCAGAGCCAAAATGTGAGTGTGTTCTCTGCCAGTGTCTGTATCAGATTTAAGACGCATGCTTCTGGCTTCCATGAAGGCTGTGAAAAAAAGTTTCAATGCAGAGTTGGATTACAGCTCTCCGTGGCTCAAAACATTGGCTGTTAATACTGCCGTCTTTAAAGGAAGCTGTAACATGGAGCACCAAGAAATCCCAGCAGATTTTAACCTTTTCTGGATCACAAATGAGTATTGATTTTCTTCTCTCTTTTTTCTTGAGATGGATTGAGTTTTTGAACTGGAATCACTTTTTTGGCATTTGGAAACATTTGTCTACTCTTTTATATTTTTGAATCTCAACAAGTATCAACAGGAAAGAAATGACATTGTTTATGTGAATTCCACTCTTTTTAAAAAAACCCACAACAAAACCCGGCAGTTGTTTACTTCTGATGTATATTTGTCAAGTCTACAGCAGATGGAGAGAAATGATCTGGTGGTGCATTTAAAAAAATGAACGGTCCATAAAGAAATGTATTTTGAAACTATTCTTTTTCCAGCTGTGTGATACTAACTGTGTAGCAAAGTGTGGCTGTTAAACACAAGGATGTACAAGCCGTGGATAGTGGTAAACATAATCATTGTGTTTTGCCTTCATCTGCTGCGAGGATCTGAATATGGATCTGTAAAGGTAAGTGGGAGTTTTTAATATAATCCTTCAATTTTAAATTATGTTGATTTTCCTATGTGAACAGTTAGAGGGTTGCAGTTATTTTTGTCTGGGAAAGGCTAACAAAACATCCAAGTAGGAAAATGGGTTATTGTGAGTTTTCCAAGCTGTATGGCCATATTCCAGAACCAGTCCCTCTTGATGCTTTGCCCACATCTATGGCAGGCACCCTCAGAGGTTGTGAGGTCTGTTGGAAACTATGCAAGTGAGGTTTATATATCTGTGGAATGTCCAAGGTGGGAGAAAGAACTCTTGTCTGCTTGAGGTAAGTGTGAATGCTGCAACTCGCCACCTTGATTAGCATTGAATGGCCTTGCAGCTTCAAAGACTGGCTAACTAGATGTGGGTGAAATGTCAGAAGAGAGTGTTTCTGGAACATGGCCATAAAGCCTGGAAAACTCATAGCAACCCAGTGATTCCAGCCATGAAAGCCTTCGATGACACATTTTACTTAGAAATGTTTGGGAGAAAGATTTAGCTATTTGTTTAGCATGTATTGGAAGAATACGATTTATGTTGTTACATGCCTTCAGTCATGCCTTCTTTCCAATCATGGCAGTGCCATCAGTGGGGTTTTCTTGGAAAGAGAGATAAGTGGGATCTTTGCCTTACTCAGAGGCTGAGAGAGTATTACTTGCCCAAGTCACTCAGCGCTTTTCCAAGGCCAAGCTTGCTCCAGAGACCAATGTTCCATCCTGGCTCAGTTAACAGGATGTAGCTGTTTATTTACTTATTTATTTATTTATTTACTTTGCTTATATACCGCTGTATCTCAAGCCCGAAGGCGACTCAGCGGTTCACAAACAGTAAAAACAGTAGAAACAGCAGTGGTTCCATACAACATATAACAATTGACTTAACACATTATCCATAAATTACCAATAAGCAATTACAATGCACAATTATTATGAAAAACAACTGTACCCAATCTTCTCATCATCCAAGCGTAGTCCAGGTTCGTCGTCCATTGTTCCATTCCTATATTCCATTACCAGATTGCACTAAATTACTCAAACGCCTGCACAAACATCCAGGTCTTCACCTTTTTGCGGAATACCATTAGAGATGGTGCTAGTCTAATGTCCGTAGGAAGGGCGTTCCACAGCCGAGGAGCCACCACCGAGAAGGCCCTATCTCTCGTCCCCGCCAGCCGAGCTTGAGAAGCAGGCGGGATCGAGAGCAGGGTCTCCCCGGAAGATCTCAAAGTCCTGGTGGGTTCATAGGCAGAGATGCGGTCAGATAGGTAGCTTGGGCCGGAACCGTTTAGGGCTTTAAAGGCCAACGCCAGCACTTTGAATTCAGCCCGGTAGCAGATCGGTAGCCAGTGGAGTTGGCGCAACAGGGGGGTTGTATGCTCCCTGCGCTCCGCTCCTGTTAAAATCATGGCTGCCGAGCGTTGGACTAGTTGGAGCTTCCGAGCTGTCTTCAAAGGCAACCCCACGTAGAGAGCGTTGCAGTAGTCTAAACGGGATGTAACCAGAGCGTGGACTACCGTGGCCAAGTCAGACTTCCCAAGGTACGGGCGCAGCTGGCGCACAAGCTTTAGCTGTGCAACTGCTCCCCTGGTCACCGCCGAAACCTGGGGTTCCAGGCTCAGCGATGAGTCCAGGGTCACACCCAAGCTGCGAACCTGCGTCTTCAGGGGGAGTGCGGCCCCATCCAACACAGGCTGTAACCCTATGCCCTGTTCGGCCTTGCGACTGACCAGGAGTACCTCTGTCTTGTCTGGATTCAATTTCAATTTGTTCGCCCTCATCCAGACCGTCACAGCGGCCAAGCACCGGTTCAGGACCTGGACAGCCTCCTTAGTAGCAGGTGGAAAGGAGTGACAGAGTTGGACATCAACCGCGTACAGATGACACCGTACCCCGAAACTCCGGATTTTTGATTAAATTTTGCTTGAGCAAAATTATATAGATATAACAATATTCCAATGGAAGCCACTTCTACCCAATAGTTTTGTTCTATTTGGCCGTTTAAAGTTGTTGGCTGATACCCAGAGTTTGCTTCTACTGGCAGGAGCGGAGCATCCCTTGAACAGAATGTCATTCCTGGCATTGGATGTGGCATTCAAATCAACTATGAATGATTTCCCCTTGCAGCTGCTTGTTCTACCCTTAAATTATACTATTGGGTGGTGTGTGTATGTGTGTTAAAACTTGTAAAACAATTGGGAGAAAGAGAAGGAGAAAGATATTCCCTAGTCTCATCTTTGAACAGGGGATCTTTCCCATTAAGAGACAAGTGATGATTCATGGTATATTTAAAGTACGACTCTATTGTATGTTAGATGACAAATGGATCCTTTTAAGGAACCCAATGTATTCAAATGTGTTGTAATAATATCTTCTGTTAATTTACTTTAGCCATCAACATGTCTAAACACAATTCCTTCTACCATTACCTCTTGAAAAAGACGTCTAATGCTGCATATTGCTCCTTTTGTCCTGTTCCCCATGTGTTTTTGCACTGATCCATGCTGAAAAGTATTAGATTTGTATACATAGTTTGTGTCATCTATTGTTAACTCTCTTCCTTCAACTACTCAGATTCTACTTTACATTTTATTTTCTTTTATTTTATTTGGGGATGCTAACATTCTTTCTCTCTATTCCTATTCACATTCCTTATTCACTTAACCGATCTATGCAAGAAAAAAATGAATTCTGAAGGAATTCTTTGACAGAGAAAACACCTGAAAATGCTAGGTCCCAAGGGAATCTTTGAAAGGTGCTGGAATTTTTGTCTATTTTTGCATAATTCATTTCTATGTTGGAAAAGTATCAGTCGTTCTGAGTTTCCCATCAGTTGCATAATACACATGCAATAATAACCAGTGGGCTGCGGTGGTACAGCAGGTTAAACCGCTAAGCTGCTGAACTGAGCTCCTTCTGTTAGCCCCAGCTTCTGCCAACCTAGCAGTTCCAAAACATGCAAAAGTGAGTATATCAATAGGTACCACTTAGGCGGGAAGGTAATGGCACTCCATGCAGTCATGCTGGCCACATGACCTTGGAGGCGTCTATGGGTAACGCCAGCTCTTGACTTAGAAATGGAATGAGCACCACCCCCCAGAGTTGGACACAACTAAACTTAATGTCAAGGGGAAACCTTTACCTTTACTTTAATAACCAGTAAATTAGATAATAAATGTAAAATACAACTGTAGGAAAAAGATTTTGGGGCAGCTCAGAAGTTGCACATGAAAGCTCTCAAATTACCATACAGTTCAGCAGTAAATGCTTCTATTTGTATATAAAGAGTTCATATGATAAGAACAGATAAACTGGATCTTGTGACAATCTTGTCCTGTTCACATTTATAAAAGAACTGCTATTAGATTAGTATTTGGCTTTAATGTAAATCAGCCAATCTATTGGGCATTAATGTAGTACAATGATATAATGACAATTGTATTCTTCAAGCAACACGCAGAAGTAGTGTAGGTCAATCTAAAAAAGAAAGAAAGTGTGTAATCATTTCTTCATGCTACAGTATGCCATCTTATTGGTCTTATTATCCATGACATGATTTCCATTTAACTTCTATGAGTACCATAATTCAGATTCAGTTTGCAATCCTAGGCATCCTCACTTGGGAATAAATTTCACTGTCCCAATCTAATGCATAGGATTCAGTTGCATAGGAATGAGAAAAGACTATTTAGAACTAGTAGCAAAATCACTGGCAGTTTTGGTATCATTACTTACTCTTTGTCTCCATTGGCTTCTTAGTTCACATTATTTAGAACATATTCTAAATAATAGTATGGTTTACTTACCTCCTTAAAAGTAAACCATACCTAGGTTGAAGAATTCCTTATTCCTAGATAAGCAGTTGTCAGATTGCAGTCAGTGACTAGTATACTGTGAACCTTTTCTTAGTGGCAGGTTATAAAAAAGCCCAGGGAAGTTCAACAACTCCTTTTTGACATATTAAAATAGACAGTGAATTAGTTTATGAACTAAGCAGATTACCAGATATGGTGAGATCTATATGCTACATAAAAGAGCCCCAAAATAAGTTATATTACTTCTATAGTGGCAGTTTAGTGGACATTTTACTCACATCATAAATTTGAAAAGTATTTATTTTCTCCACTACTCTTACAAAAGTATGCTACTTTCACATAACACAAAAAACCCTCTAAAAGTATGATGGTTGTGTTCTGAAGCACTTGGGAGTGATTCCCAACTGCTAGCAATGGTTCCTTAGCAAGTTCTTCAGTTTGGCAAGTTCAAGCATGCATTTAGCAAGACAAAACAGACATTCTGGGCATTTGGACTATAAATTGCACAGCTTTAAATTTAGTTCAGTTAAGTCCTTGTTCACTGAATCCAGCTAGTTGGTCTTCATAGAGGAAATAAATGTTCTGTACCTGTGGCTATCATTCTTGCCCCAAAACTCTGGGTTTTGCATTATCCTACATCACTGAAAATTGTCCAGAAGGTGCACTTTACCAGTAGGGAGAGAAAACATAGCTCACTTTAGACACTATTCCTTCCAAGTGCTCAGACCAATGGAGCCTAGATATGAAATGTCCGATAGCATGCCAGAGAAAAAACTCAAAAATACTTGTATGAAACCTGATGCGGGTTAAATATCTCTTATTCAAAAATCTGAAATCCTCCAAAATCATCTATGTAGATGGCTGAGATAGTGACACCTGCACTTTCTGATGATTCAGTTGACACAAACTCTTCCATGCACAAAATTATATAAAAAAAATTGTATACAATTACCTTCAGGCTATGTATATAAGCTGAACATGAACCAAAAAATATTTGTATGTTTAGACTCTGGTCTCATCTCTGAGATATCGCATTATGTATGCATGTGCAAATATAGGTATTCCAAAATTTGGCAAAAAGTTCAAAATCCAAAACACTTTGGTTAGCAAACATTTCCTAGTATTTCCTAGGAAAAGATATGAAAGATAAAAGGTATGCCACCTAGACACC